CAGCTGTGCCTCTGTCCCCACCCTCCATTCTGGGCCCCCTTGCTTTTCAAGCCCAGTTCTCTCCACCAGGTTAGAGGACAACAGTGGGCCTGGCCCACCCTTCTTCCCCACTCCCCTCTGCTTCCGGACATCCTCCCGGGACTGTCCCTATCTGTCTCTCATGCCTTCCACCCTGCCAGCGCCACGCAGGGCTCATTCATTCCGTTACCAATTACATGTGGCTTCCCAGTCACCCAGCTCCTCTTTCAAACTGGATCTTCTTTGGTCACACACATCACAGGCTGGGGTCTCCATAGCACGATCTTGGCTCCCACTGCCCTAGGCCTGTTGAGGGCCACTCTAGAGCCCCTCTGCACCTGCTCCTACCCACACCCTCCTCTTTCTGGACCTGCACGGGGACGGGTACTTTTCCATTCACATTCCCACCATTCGCAGGACATTTATCCATTTGCATGAGGCTGACTCTGCTGAGCCTTTACTGGGGGAGTATCTTCTATTTTTAAGCCCAGAGGTGTGATACTGAATTTTCAGAAGTTCTGCTGCAGACTGGTCATGACGTTGTGGTTTCATAATTAGACTGTGTTGTGCCTGTGCTTCTGGACTGCACGGTGGGTTTGGACCCGAGTGAAGAGGTCCGTGTAGCTGGGTGGTCTCTGGCCAGATCAATGCCCCGGTGAACGGGCTCTGCAGCGGGGACCACTCACCATGGACACCCAGCTACACAACGCAGTCAGCCAGGGCAGCTCTTCGTGGAACTGAGCCTTGGTTTCCTCTGAACTACAAAGATTTGGGGGATTCGATGAGATAATGCATGTAAAGCACTTAGCACCCTGCCTGGGACAGTGTTCTCCAGATATAGAAACTGTAAAGAGACTTTGCAAAGGCTTTTTACATGCATGGACGGCCTTCAGGGTCTCCATAATCTCATGGTCACACATGCACAGTCATGTGTGTGTAAATCACCCATATCCAGGCCCCTCTGTGGAGGTCAGTGTGGCTCTCAGCCCAGGAGGATCAGCTCCAGCTGGTGCGTGCTGGTGGGGCTGGAAACCCTTTCAGGTGTTCCCAGGGGTCCTGCAACTAGATTCCTAGACATAGGGCACAAGCATATGTGACGTGGCTAGAGATGGTCACATTTCCCTTCATAGAGCTTGTGTCTCTTGTATTCCCATCAGTAGGGTGTGATGGCCCAGTTAATCAGTGGCCTCACCACCTGATAGTGAAACATTGAGGTTTTTGCCAATCTACTAAGCAAGAAATGGTATGTTATGGTCCTTTTTCATGTCACTGTATTATGAGCAAGGTTGAACATTTTTTCTATGTTTAGACGCCATTTGCATTTGTGAATCTCTCAATTTTAGAAGCTATATATTATGAATATTAACCGTTTAATACAGGTTGTCAATATATTTTCTCAACTTCTAATTTTACTTTGCTATGGATTTTTAAAATCATGTGAGAGGTGTTTTTTTTATGTATTCAAATTTATCAATCTTTTCTGTTACCATATCTGGATTTTGAATCAGGAAAGGTTTCCTCACTCCCAGGCTTTACAGGAATCCCGTCATTTTCCATTTTTCTCTAGTTTTCACATGGCTTTATTTTCCCAGGGACTCCTGCACCACCTGTTGTGCTCATGTGCCCCCATTTGTCTGTGACGCTGCCTTCACAGTACACTAAGCTTCCAAAAGGGCTTATTTTTGCGTTTTTAATTCCATTCCATTGATCTGTGTATTCATGGCTTAGCTCCCCTTACTCCCAGCCAAGAGTTTTGTCCTTTTACAGGGATTTCCTGGTTATTCTGACTTGTTCTTCCAAATTGGGTTTTTAATAATAATAGTATTTAAGGACAAATTGTCCATAAAATGATTTTAAGAGAAATAACCGACAACAGATCACATGCTATATATACATAGATAGTTTTTTTCCTTATGGAAAAGTATTGGAAGAGAAAACACCACAATGTCTGAGCAGTTGTCTCTTCACTGGTGTTGACCATAACACTGACACAGTCACAAACGCCAGAACAGCAAATGTTCTGGAATTTGGTATTCAGAGTTGTGCCTTTTGGGATTATGCAAAAACAAAAACAAAAACAAAAAAAAACCAAACCCAGCAGCCACCAAGCCCATGTGACTTCCAAACACTTGAAATGTGGCTGGTGTGAGTGTGACTAAGGAACTGAGTTTTAAATGTTATTAATTTGAATGACCACATGAGGCCAGTGGCTCATGGCTACACTGGACAGTGCAGCTTCGGCTAATGCCCAAATGGGACTCTGCCCCTCCCACCCAGCACTACAAGGAAAGGTCCTGCCACGTGCAGACGGGCTGGGAGGCCCGGTGAGGTGAGAGGTCAGCTCCGGAGCTGGCGCTGCTCACAGAAGGCCCATGGGGACTCCCGGCAGGGGCCAGCCTCAAGCAGCAGCCCCACCCCAGTGGCCATCACAATGGCAGTTGGCCGGCGTCACAATACCACAGGTGGGAGGCCACTCAGCAGCCTTGCAGCCCGCCAGCCAATTTCCCCCTGGGGCAGGTCCCTTTGTCTGCAGACCTACTTACAGCAGGCTCAGCGTCAGAGGACCCCGTCTCCTGGGGGATGGAAAAGCGCCCAGCCACTGAGTGGCCTCACGCTGGACACCTACAGGAAGAGGCAGGCCAGGTGTGGGGCTGGGAAGACCAGCTCAGCCCCAGGACCCAGGGCCCGCAGGGCCCCGCCGCCCATCTGCAGGGACCTGCAGTGCGGGCTGAGCAATGAGAAGCTGCTCCTCTTCTTCCTGGCCATCTGGTTCTTCTACTTCTTCTACCTTCACGACTGACTCTGACCACACCTCCCTTCCGCCCCCTCAGGGGGCCACGACAGCTGGCCTGACCCAGCCCCTTCCAGTGGGACAGAGTGGCCTGGGCCAGAGCCTGGCTCCACACAGCAGGCGGCAGGTCTCAGCGTTGCATCTCGGGAGTGGAGACTGGAGACTGCAGGCCCTGGGCCCCTCACCTCACAAACTGGGGGTGCCGTGGCCCCGGCTCCTGCCCGCTGAGGGACCCGGAGCTGCACGGCCCAGAGGAGCCTCGTCCTCCACCGAGTAGATGACGCAGGAAGGGGAAGAGAAATGTGTCCCAAAGACCTGTGCGGGCCAGCGTGGCTGGAGTCTCTGGAGGGCAGCGGGGACACAGCAAGGCTTTGGGGCCCTGAGTCTTCCCAGTGGGCGCAGGTCAACTCTGCATGGAGACTGGGAAGCTGCTTTGTGCCTGGCCGCAGGCTCTCATGAGAAATAAACCGCCCTTGGAGAAGGTGACAGCAAGAGACATTTTATTCCCATTTTGGGGGGACGGAAAAAGAGCCCAGTGCTGCTTAGCACGTTTCTGGCCAGAGCGGTGAAAAGACCATGTGCCTTTTGGACCGTCTTTAAAATAAGACAAAAATGGGGGTGTGGCTCCACCTGGACCTAGGACAGGTCCTGCCTGCCCGGGTGGCTCCCAGGCCTGGTTTTCCTGGGGGCAGGACTGCTGGACACGCAGATCCCAGGGCCCCGCAGGAGGCGTGGGCAGTGGCTCCAGCACAGCCATGTGTGCGCGCCTGTGCCCCGCAGAGCGCACGCTGGCAGGGCGCTTGCTGGCAGGGCACACACTGGGTTTGGGTGGCTGGACAGCCCCCAGAGAGAAGGGCTCCCAGCAGTCAGAGGGCCCTGGTGGGGGGAACGAGGCTGTTACCCTAAGACCATGACAGGGAATGAAGTCCCCACACACACAGAGAGAAAGAAGAGCTTCTGCTACCTGCTGGGGCTTCTCTAAGAACACGGGCACGCAGGGAGGGGCAGGCAAGACTCGGGGCTGGCACAGACAGTTAAAGGAAAGGGCACACACTGGTGTCACTAGCAGGGCAGGACAGGCCATCTGTGCAGTCCCTGAAGTCTCACGGGAGTGCTGTGTCAAGCTCAACACCTTCGGGAAGGGGAGGGAAGGTTGTGACCCTCTCTGCAGCCACCTTTGTGGACAGATCCCCTGGGAACTGTAGCCTGACCCCAACCCCAGATCTCTGAATTCTTGGGTCTGGACTGGAGCCCTGGGCGTCCTGAAGGGACCAGGAACATGCAGCCACGGCCTGTCACAGGTGCCTGCGACTGATTAAGCTCACGGAGGAAATACAGTATAAAGCGTCCCTCAGCTGCTCCTTCCCAGACGTGCTGAGACATTCTTCTAGTGATGGGATCTAGCTGATGTAGTAACAGTGTAGGGGTACAACGTTCCCATTGGGACTCCACAAAGCTAAATTTTGGATTATAAAAAAAAAAGCCACAGCCCATAAACAGGTATTTTTCCTGAAATGGGCCACATGCAGAAAAGGTACTGTCCCCCTCAGAGAGCAGCGTCAGGTGCTGGCACCTGGCCAGAGGGTAGCACTCGGACCCCCACACACACACCTGGGCTCATCCCTTGGGGAGCCTGGGCCTCAAGCATGGGATGGATCTGAAAATGCGAGTTTTTGTCCTTTCAGGCCTGTGACACGAATTACAGCCTGTCAGGCTGCAGTGACGCAGTGACTGTTCCCAGCTGCCCTGTGACAGTTCTACTTTTGCGGGTGTAGGAGGGGACAGAAGCATGATGACACAGGCGCTCCACGAGAAGGAAGCCAGCAGCAGACGTCAACCACCACTTTATTAAGGCTTGGAGTGGCCGCCAGTGTGGGCTGAGTCATGCACCGCGGGGACCCCCGCTCCGCAGTCTGGACAGCCTGAGGCACAGGCACCGTCCACTGTGCTCCACACACACCCCCTGCTGCAGGGGGCCGGGTGTGCAGATATCCTGGGGGCCCTCAGCAGGGTCCCCGGCCCACAAGGGGGCTGGCTCCAGCAGGACCTGGGCTCTGGTGGGGGGAGTGGCAGGGAGGCACAGGAGGGCAGGGATGTGTCCCCCAAGCCTCCCACCCCACCCTATGGCTTTGTTATCCTATGGTCACCTGAGAAGGAGTGGAGAGCCCCTCCCCTGTCCCCACTCTGGGCCTGTGCTGCACTGTGAGGTGACCAAGGGAATCCCCTGGCAAAGAAAAGGCAGCTCTGTGCCTGGGACCTGGCCAGACCTCGGGAGCTGTGACCTGGCTCTTGCTCCCCCTCTGCTCTTCCCGGCCCTGGGTCTTGTCCAGTCGGGGCTGCTCACTTAGAAGTGGACCCGTAGCACGTCCTGGCTGGCGACCGGCTGCTGGCAGGCCGTGCATGTCATGGGCAGGGAGCGCTGCTTCTCACCCAGGCAGGGCCGGCACAGGAGGTGGCCACAGGGAAGCTGGTACACGGGTTCCTTTTTGAAGTAGGAGGAGAACGCTCTTTTGCAGGAGGCACACTCGGGGCCCGGGACGCTCCCAGGCTGCTCTGGTAAATCAGGGAGGAAAACAGCCCAGGGTTAGGGAGGCTGCTCCTCAGCCCGGGCTCTGTGGGACAGGCAGGGCCGTCCTTCATGCGCCCCTGCAGCTTCACCCTCCCTAGCCCGCCTCTGGCTGATGTGGCAGGGAGGGTGGCAGGAGGCCTAGGAACTTAGGAGGCCTCTCTCTTCGGTCTTTGACCGAATCTCAGTGCTCCCGTGAGTGCACCAAAAGAGCTGGCTTCTCTGGGCAGCAGGCAGGACTGGGCCCTACTCCTGGTCCCCAGCCAGGTTCCCTTCCCGTCAGACAGGCTGCCAAGGCTAGAGCAAGGCACAGCTCTGGCGATGTAAACTGCAGGATGGTTAGATGTGACAGGAAAGGAAAAAGTAGCAAATGGTCTGTTGGACCTGGGTTGGGACAGGTGGGCAGGGAGGTCCCCAGAGGGCAGGGCTGAGGTCTGTCTGCAGTGCACCTGCCTGCTGTGCCTGGGGCCTGCTTCCCTGCAGCCCTGCAGCCCGAGCCCCTCATGCTCCTGACCCTGGCCAGTCCCCTTCCTGTGCTGCCCTGGCCCCGGCAAGTCTGTCTCCTCCTCAACTCCCACAGGGTCTCCTGGAGTTAGGGCCAAGGTGCAGCTCCTGCACCCCCATCTCCTAGGCCATGACTTTCTCACCAAATCCCCAACACTCTGTAGAGCGGCAGGGGCTGGCCCCCCCGTCCTCCCATGGTCCACTTCTTCATTCCTGGCCACCACTCTTTAGGGGACCCCAAAAGGCACCTCAAATCGATGTGTTTCAGAAATGCTTCTTCAAGGCCCTCCTGTCTGTCCATTTCCATGACCACAACCCAGGCCACTCAGTGCATCTCGTCCTCCCTCGTCACTTTCCTCCAGACTCATCCCCTCAAGCTGTCCTAAATTTCCTCCTATGACCCATCTATATAGCCTGACACCCCATGCCCTACTGTACACCTCTTAGGGGCTCCCCATCTTCTGGGATGGTCAAGACCCCCTGCACACCCCAGCCAGCCTCCCTCCCTTCACACACAGCCTCAGCCTTCAGGGTCCTGCAACCCCAATCACTTCCTTTCTACATATGCTCTGTGACATCGGCCTCCTGCCGCTGGGCCCTGCCCTCTCTGTCTAGAATGCCCTCATCCAGATACCTGGCTCAACCACACCTCCTCCGGGAAGCCCTCCTGACTGCCCTTTCCTGTGTTTCAGAGCCTGTCAGCCCTTCTCACACCATCAGATCACACGACCCCAGGCTTTGGAAGCCGCTGGAGGGTCAAGACTATGTCTGTGCTTCTCACGTGTTTATTCTCTAGGCCTAGCGCCGCAGCACCTCACATGCCTTGTGCTCAGTCAATAATGTGATAAAAATACCTTGATCCTGCCAGTAACAAAACAAGTAAACAGACAAAAAATATGTGATGAAGATATGACATCTAAACAAAGGGCCCAAGTACAAAGAAATGCAACTCAGCTCTGAAGCCAGCTGCTTGGTAGGGGCGCCATGTGCTGAGCACCCCAAGTCCTCACAGGGGAACAGGAACTGCAGTGTGGTCTAAACGGTGCTCCCTCTCACCCCTGAGGGCTGTAGCCCAGAACAAGAGTGGCCTGGCCTTGGGTGTTTGCTTTGGGCCAAACATTAAGCAACCTGAAAGTCCCAAGTGTCTCTTGTGTGCACACAAGCCAGGAATTACCCAATGAGTTGAGAGATTCCTTTCCTCACAGGTGAACCCCTACAAGAAAGGGAAGGAGGGAGAGAGGGCAGGAAGGAGGGAAGGCAGCAAAAGCAAAGAGACTGCTATTTACTGAGTGCTCCTTCTATGCAGGCTTCGTGCTAGAGGTCTCAGAGATCTGCACGACCTACAGGTGTACCCTGAGAATCTTAACATCTTATTTTCCATGAGAATCTAAAAAATCACCCCTGGCACCACACCAGGAAGCATGCAAGGGCCCCAATTTTCTCCAGCACAGACCAAAAGTCCCATGAAAGCATCCCAGAGGCCTAGAGCCCCAGGGGCAGTTTCAGTGACAAAAAATAAAAATCATCAAGGAAAAGACTATTGTGCCCTAGGCAGACTGGAAACACAAATATAAAATTGCAAATTGAGGTAATAAAGAGAGAGAATGAAAAAGGGATCTCACTGTGGGCAGGATGGGCAAGCATGGCCTCCTGTGGGAAGACTCATAATAAGAATGACAAGTGGCAAACCATGCAGAGGAAAAGGGACAACAAGAACAAAGAGCTGGTCCATTAAAGAAAGAGAAAAGAGAATGTGGCTTCAGAAGAGATCACAGAGTAGGGTGGATGGGGGCTACAGCATGCAGGACCTCAGGGGCAGCAGGAGTTTAGATTTTTAGTTATTTATATTTTTAGAGACAAGGTCTCCCCTCTGTCACCCAGGCTGCAGTACAGTGGTGCAATCATAGCTCACTGCAGCCTCGAACTCCTGGGCTCAACTGATCCTCTTGCCTCAGCTTCCACTGGTAGCTGGGAATACAGGTGTACACTGCCACACCTGGCTAATTCTTTAAATTATTTGTAGAGAAGGGGTCTTGCTATGTTGCCCAGGCTGGGGTCGAACTCCTTGCCTCAAGCAATCTTTCCCTCTGGCCTCCCAAAGTGCTGGGATTACAGGTGTGAGTCACCATACTCAGCCAGAATTTAGATTTTATTCTAAGTTCAATGGGATGCGAAGAAAGGATTTTAAGAAATGAGGCACCATGATCGGTTGACATTATAAAAAGATCCCTCTGACTCCTGTGAGAATGATGAGCTACAGTAAGGCAAGGGTGGTGGTAGAAAGCCCAGCAGGGGCTACTACAGGAGTCTGGGGAACAGAGGACAGGAGCTGGGGCCAGGGTAGTAGCCATAGGAAGGAGGCAGAGAGGACTAACCTGAGATCTATTTCAGAGGAGTATGGACAGGACTTGACAATGAACGGAATGTCATGAAGACGCTGAAGGGAAACCAAGGATGACTTCCATGTTAGAAGAAGTGGATTCTTTGACAAGATAGGTTCTTGAGAATGATCAGGATAATGAGAGAGGGCAGGAGAGGAAAAGGGCAGTGGGGAAGGAGAGGCAGAAGGGGAAGATGGCCTGGGATGCAGACTATGGAAGGCACTGGCTTTGTGTAGGCAGGAGGAATCAAGCGCAGGCCTTGGCAGTAGTTCCACCAGGTCTCAGGTTGTCAAAAATGCCACAGCATTGCAGTCAGTTCCTCTCACTTTGTATCATGATGGAGTTCATCACATAAAGTGGTCCCATGTTCCCTCTAGGCAAAAATTGGCCCAGTAAGCTCCTACTGTTCTTTCCTAAGACACTGATTAAATGGTTGTAGGAAAGGAGAAAGACGATGTACTCAACCCCAAATCTCCCTGCACAGTTACATAAAGTGCCCCAAATGTCAGATGGGAGACTAGCTTCGAAAAACAAAGAAAAAAGGAGAAACAAAATTCCTCAGGAAAGAATTACTAACATTAGAGCTTAAAAAAAAAAAAAAAACAGCAGAGGACAGTCCAGCTCTAGTCTACAGAATTACTAAGGGTTGACTATAGAAAACTTTTCTTTTGAAGAGTTCAAGTTCACCATTAGCCCCTTAACTCTCTGTGGAAAAGGCTAGAAAACAGGTTCTCTCCCCAGACTGGGTGTTGGAACAGGGAAGAAGCCTGGCCATGCAGGTCCACAGAGAAGACACGGCCCAGCATCCTGCACAGAGAACACACCACCCGTTCAAAGGCTCCAAGGAGACAGACGGGGCCCATGTTACCCGAGCCAGCGCCGGGCCTCCAGGAAGTGCTGCTCCCTCTTGTGCCAAGGTGCTGGAGCTGTCCCCTGGTCAGCCGAGCTGTAAAGGAGGGCATGGAGCCAAGGGTGGACGTCAAGGCAATTTCCAAGCTTTGTGACAGCTTCTGTTCATGGGACACTGGATCTGTCAAGAGATGTGCACACCACAACATCCAGAGGCAGGTTTGGCAAGAACAAGCAAGTAGTCCTTTGAGGACTACAAAAATGGCACTTCCAACTTCAGAAACACATAAATGTAAAGAAACTCCTTCTTAATGTCTACTAGTGGACTGTGGTGACAGAACAACGAGAGTTAAAGCCCTGGGAACCCTGCCTGTTCCCACTCATCCCACAAGCCAGGTTTCCTGGCCTGTGGCTTTTCTCCTGCACAAATGGCTGGGCAGGCGTGGGCCACCTTGTGGCTCAACTGCAGAACTGCATACTTCTTTCTAAAGTCCTCCTTGCTAGCCAAGGAAAAATGTCTGGGGCAAACAAATGCCTGCTCTGGACTCCTGCTCCCTGCCTGCCCCTTCCCTCCCAGGTAGCCTTAGTCTTTTCTTTCCCCAAAACTCCTTCCTGGGGGCTCCCCCACACTGCAGGGCTGCTTGCCTGCATTCTCTAGGTGGTTGGTGTTCTCTCTCTCCTGTGAAGGGAAACACAGCAGCTGTGACCAAATGGAATGCCTGAGACCTCCTGCTCACCACCCCATGACCTAGGGGACTGTTGGTCAATAGAGAGCCAAGCTAAGGAATGAGGGCAAAGGCAAAAGAGGTAGGGGAACAACTGCCCAAGAAAGGCCCCAGGGGCTTGCGTGGTAGGAAAATTTGCAAGACTGCCCCCAAAGAGGAGAGTAGAACATTTTGTCTACAGTTTGTGGGACACAGGACATCAGCTTAGGGCCTTGAAGGAGCACTAGTCAGCATGGTCCTGTGTCACCAAGTCTGTCAAGGCCAACACCACTGAGACCTCTACAAACAGACACTGAAGTCTAAAGACCTTTTTCTTTGTCTCACCTCATGATACTTCAGATGCTTCCAGAAGTTTCTGGGGCTCATGTTAACTAGAATTTACTCTCAAAACCAAAGACAGAGAACTAACTATTAAGCACACTATTTGCAGACTTTTAGAGAAAAACAGGAAATCAAAAGAATAATCAAATTTAAACATACTAATTTCCACAAGGAAAAAGAAAAAGTTGTCAAAGAGCTACCCTCCAAAAGCACCAGGCACTGATAATCACTGGGGAATTCTACCAAATATGTTTACGAGCAGACTATTCTAACACTATTAAATTGTTCCAAGGCTAGGCCAGTGGCTGAATTTGTAATCCCAGCACTTTGAGAGACTGAGATGCGAGGCTCCAGCCTGGAAACATAATGAGACCTGTCTCTACAAAAAATATAAATAAATAAATTTTGAAAAAAAGTGTTCTAGAATATAGAAAAGGAAGATTTCTAAATTCTTTTTATGGAGCAAAAAACCCTAAAAAAATCATTGATACCAAAATCTGACCAAAGATAGTACACACATACATACACAGCTACAGTCCAATCTCATAATGAATGTAAAAATCCTAAATAAAACACTAGCAAACAGAACCAAGCAGGACATTAAAAGAATCACAACCAAATGGAGTATAAGAATGGTTCAATATTGGAAAACCTATTAATGTACTTTATCACATTAAAAGATCTAAGGATGCAGCTGGGTGTGGTGGCACGTGCCTGTAGTCCCAGTTACTAGGGAGGCTGAGGCAGGAGGACCACTCGCCCTCAGGAGTTTGAGTCCAGCCTGGGCCACACAGAAAGACCTTGTCTGTAAAAAAAAAAAATTTTGATCACTAATCCTGGATGAAAACACTCAATAAAAAAGGTATCAATGGTGTAGGAGAGTTTCTGAAATTTCTCCAATGGACCCCACCTCCTGATAGTCAGGCCCTTGGATATCTCTCCCCTTGAGTGTGGGCTAGACTTAGGGACTCACTCCTAACAAATAGAATACAGCACAAGTGAGAGATGTCACTTTCAAGGTCAGGTTATACAAGACCAGGATTTCCATCTTGTTTGCGTACTTTCTCTGGAATGCACAGCTACCACAGAGTGCACTGTCCCATGGAGAGGCCCACAGGGCAAGGAATTGAAGGCAGCCTCCAACCAAGAGCCAACAAGGAAGTGAGGCCCTCGTCCAACAATTCAGCCCAATGATTCAATGAGGAACTGAATCCTGAACAATCACTGAATCCTGAACAACCATGTGAGTGAGCCTGCAGGTAAATTCTTCCCCAGTCAAGCTTGGGGGTGACCACAGCCCCAGCCAACACTTTGACAGCAGCCTAGAGAGACTCTGAAGCAAAGGACCCAGCCAAGCCAGGTCTGGATTCCTGACAAACAGAAGTTAAGAGATAACGTTTGCTGCTCTGAGCCAGTAAGTTCTGAGGTAATTTGTTATATAACAATACTTCCTTTTCTTTTTTTTTTATTTTTGAGACAGAGTCTCCCACTGTTGCCCAAGCTAGAGTGCAGTGGTGTTATCTACAAACTCAAATTCCTGGGCATGCTACCACATCCAGCTAATTTTTCTAATTTTTTTTTTTTTTTGGTAGAGTCACGGTCTCAGTATGTTGACCACGCTGGTCTGGAACTCCTGGGCTCAAGTGATCCTCCCCTATCGGCCTCTCAAAGTGCTAGGATTATAGGCGTGAGCCACTGTGCCCAGCCATAACTAGTATTTCTTTAACGCCATAAAACAGATCTATCTCAGCCTAAGAGCCAACATCAGATGTACGTTGAAGCATTCACACTGAACACATTCAGCTGCAGAGGTCACCAGGTAAACCAGGGCTGCTCTTGTCAGGAGAGGGCAGCATCACTGGTCCCAGAAATCATTGGCAATGCAGGGAAGAGGCAGGAAGCCCAGATCTCTTACTAAAGAATGTTGTCATTTGTCTACTCTTTTACTAACTGTCCTTCCTTCCTTCAGTGTGGATTTTCTTTTCAGCAACTCTCTCCTGAAAGGAGGGCCTACAACCTAGTACTTCAATACTTTTCTGTGAGCTCCTGGAGGTGAGGACTTCAATGTATTTAAATCAACACACCTCTGCGAAGGTTAGAAACAATACCTGGAGAAGCCCACTGACACATGAGTAACCTTAAGCGAGGTACCAGAAGGAAGACTTGGTCTGCTTTGAGGGACTGGTGTCTCTGCTCCCAGCAGCTCTGACCAGAGGCTTCAAGCCCAGGAAGAAGTGTTGACCCAGCCAGGGGACGTAAAGGGAACCCACGGAAGGCCAAACTGCCAGTGGGACTATCACCGGACAGAGGAACAAACATGCAGACGGAAGCCCTGGAATAGATGTGAACATGTCTAGCCCCTCCATGGCTTCTGAGACAAAGCTGAGGGGGCCCATGATGAGGAATGAGAAGGGAGAAGCCTGGGCACAGCCTGAGGAATCTAAGCTGGCAAAGCATAAAGCAAAGGGCCATAGTTCCAGTGTCAGCCGGGAAGAGTAGGGATGACAATGGGCCAGGGACATAGGACAGTGAATTACCTGTTGAGCAGTCCATGTATGTCAGGCTAAGCTCACTGGTGGCTTTCATTTTCTTAGCAGTGTGCTCTGAGGTAGTGGGCAAGACCAGAGGGCTTGTGGTAGAAAAACAGGAAGCATTTATACCAAGGCTCCTGTCCAGGCCTCGTTCGGTCTGTTCCATCTTCCTTTTCCGAGAGGGCAGAACAATGGAAGAAGGAGTCACTGCCAGTGCAGTCTGTGCTCTCCCAAGCAAGTGGCAGCCAGGGACAGTGTGCTGGAGCAGGAAGTGGTCGATCCGAGCTTTCAGGGAGGGGTGAGGCAGGGGTTGGGAGTGTGCAGTAAAGGCAACCCCCGTGAAAGGGTCGCTGGGCACTCGGCCCCATGCAGCTTCACTGCGGTTGCACTTCTCCAGCGTGCTCTGGTCGATGACCTTGCCTGAGGGCAGCAGCATGGGACATGGCATGATCTCCAGGGTGATGGGATCCAGGAACTCCTCAGGCACATCCTCAATTACCTCAGCCAGCTCCTGCAGGCTGGTGGGGGCCTGCTGAACCTCAGACTGGTCCCCGGGGTCACAGTCACTTTCCATGGGCAAGGCCGGGGCCTGCAGAGCCAAGACCTGGGGCAGGCTCTCTGAGGCAACCAGTAGAACGCTGTCTATCACCTCCTGAGAGCAGGTCTTGGCTGGCTGACCCCATACTTCCAACCGCTTGATGCAAGGAATACCGCTGCCTGTCACGTGTGTGATGCAAATCTTGAGGTGGGCCACATGGCTAAGGGAAAGAGCCCCTTTATTCCAAAGCTCCTGAGTCACAACAGCAGGGGAGGGAAGTGTGACTTCCATTGGGCCAAAAGGCGGTCTGGCCTTGAAGCCCCTGTGATTGAACACCACTTGGCTCTGGTTTTTCAGTAAGACTTTGCCTACCAAGGTGAATGACTCTTTGTCTGGGACAGATGGCTCGGCTGGGCCTGGGGTTCGGCACTCGGGCGTGCTCCAAGATGCTCTGCTGCATGAGGCAGATGTGTACATTTCTAGGCCAGTGGCGTTCTGGCCTCCCCCAGCTGTGAGGTCTAGGTTAATCCTACAGATTTCCACATTAAAGGGAAAGGAAACTGTCACATAGACTGGTGGCTTAATGAAATACTCTGTCCTAAAACCATGACTTCTCTTTGTGAGGTCTTGAGAGATGAGATTTTCTACTTCATAACCATCAGCTGATATCTAGATTTAATAACAAATATGAGACACATTGATTCAAATAAAGACAACTAGTTTTCAAGAACTTATCACTTTTAAGAAAACTCTTTAAAGAAAGTCTGAAGTTTCTCATTTAAAAGTTTCTCCATTAAACTAAATTGTCATAGGTTTTTTTTGCAGGCACCCAAGATCAAGTCAAAGGCTGAGGGTAACTGTGTCCCCAGGTACTGCCCAACATGAAAAATATGAGCAACAAAACCCTGCCCAATAAAGCCAAAAATTCCTTCAAAATAGTATCTTTGTGGAAAGGGATATATACCAGTGGTTTTTTATTTCAGAAGAAAACATGCAAACTTTTAAGAGAAAACAAAAATGTTCATTAAAGTTCTCAATTTTGTTTTTGGACACTACCTATTATGACAGTTTCATAGGAAGGCATAATATACAAGCTTCTTGTAAATTTATGAATGATGAAACTTAGTTCAAAAAAAAAATGTGTGGGCCGAACGCGGTAGCTCACGCCTGTAATCCTAGCACTCTGGGAGGCTGAGACGGGCGGATCGCTCAAGGTCAGGAGTTCAAAACCAGCCTGAGCAAGAGCGAGACCCTGTCTCTACTAAGAATAGAAAGAAATTAATTGGCCAACTAAAAATATATAGAAAAAAATTAGCTGGGCATGGTGGCACATGCCTGTAGTCCCAGCTACTCGGGAGGCTGAGGCAGGAGGATCGCTTGAGCCCAGGAGTTTGAGGTTGCTGTGAGCTAGGCTGATGCCATGACACTCTAGCCTGGGCAACAGAGTGAGACTCTGTCTCAAAAAAAAGAAAAAAAAAATGTGTGCACAAACATGGGAATTTAGAACACTAAGTGGTCTCTAACCTTTTTGGCACCAGGGACCGGTTTCATGGAAGACAATTTTTCCATCGAGGTGGGGGAAAGAGAAGGGCAGAGCTCTGTAGCCTGGTCCCTAACAGGCCACCAACCACTACCTGTCCATGGCCCAGGGCTTGGGGACTGCAGTAGTAGGGGACAGAATTAACTTCTTCCCCCCTTGATATTTCTAATACTAATCAGTGGAAATTGCTATAGCCAATGGAAATTGTTAAGATATCTTTGTCCAGAGGAGTCAGCCTAACAATCTGGGAACTTGACATAGAATGCTGGGTGCAGAAACTCCACATTAAGAAAGGGGTCAGTTTTTCCCATGGTGTTTCCTTGTTCCCTCCTCTGTGCTGTGGATAGATACCCTCCTTTTCACAAAAGGGGAGGGGAAGCTTAATCCAAATAACAAATAACAAGGCACCCATATAACAAATGTAAGTCATTATTTCTAGCAAGAAGAACTAGGAGGAGAGAATTTCTATCTTTGCTATGACTGTGACTAGCTTGAAATTGATCATCGAAGAGCACAATGAAGAAGATCCTACACAAATTCACCTCATAATGGTGCTGTGTGATTCCAGAGGTGAGCCTGACCCATGCTTAGCTAAATACCATCTGGTGAAATCTAAAATAATGAGGGTAAAAGTATAGTAAGCCTGCATGAAGTCCACATACACAAGGCAGAAAATGACTAAATACATGAAAAATACATATTGTATATTTTTAACTATGTGTGTATATATTTGTCTTGTTTACCTTGTTGCAGTGAATTCTTGGTCTGAACTGTGGGAGGCAAAGATTTATTACCATCTTTGTGGATGAAAAGATAGCTTCCAAGCATCAGAAACAGCCTTAAATAAAGAAAAAAAAATTGGTATTAGTCAGAAAAGTTAAAATTCAATTTTAACTTTCAGAAGTTGAATCTTAAGAGAAGAGAATCAAACAGGATAACAAAAACTTTAAAACACACATACATACTCTCACAGTTTGTACTCACTTTCAGAAGACTGCACTTCCTTATATCCTTATATCCTATATATCACTTTCCTTATATCCTACATATGATGTTAAGAAAAAAATTAGTCACTGAAAAATTGCAAAGATTTCTACTGCAGGATTAATAGGTTGGCAGAGACTGCCAGGCAACAGCTGTTCCAGGGACCCATTGGAGGCAAGGCCCGTCAGCTCCCCATAGAAATGGGAGGGTTAAAAGTGGCTAAGCTGGCTGGGCGCGGTGGCTCACGCCTGTAATCCTAGCACTCTGGGAGGCTGAGGCAGTTGGATCACTCAAGGTCAGGAGTTCGAAACCAGCCTGAGCAAGAGCGAGACCCTGTCTCTACTAAAAATAGAAAGAAAGTAATCAGACAACTAAAAATATATAGAAAAAATTAGCCGGACATAGTGGCGCATGCGTAGTCCCAACTACTGGGGAGGCTGAGGCAGGAGGATTGCTTGAGCCCAGGAGTTTGAGGTTGCTGTGAGCTAGGCTGATGCCAGAGCACACTAGCCCAAGCAACAAAGTGAGACTCTGTCTCAAAAAAAAAAAAGTGGCTAAGCTCAGAGAAAGAACAGAGGATTTAGAATAGAAAGGGTCACAGAAAATAATCATAGGGGTGCTAAACCTGTCATTTAACACTTGTCAATACAATTATGTTTTCTTAGTAAAATGAAAACAATTAGAAGAGTCAAAAACATTACTGAGAAACAGAACATATTAGGGATGGAAAGCACCTTAAAAGGACATCTAATCTAAATAGTCATTTTATTTTATTTTTTTAAAGGCTGGTCAAGTGACGCAGTGGGGTGGAGAAGGAACAAAGGAATCTGTAACTGGTTGTGAGCAATTAGTTGTAAACACCACTGCACTTGGACCAACCTAGATAGTCATTTTAATGGCCAATGGCCAGCAGCTTCTTTTTTCTTTTTTTTTTAAGATGGGGTCTTGCTCTGTTACCCAGGCTGGAGTGCAGTGGCATCATCATGGCTCATAGCTCAACTGTAACTTCAACTCCTAAGCTCAAGTGATCCACCAGCCTCACAAGTAGCTGGGACTACAAGGTGCATGCCACCACACCCAGATAATTTTTCTAGTTTTTGTAGGGACAGAGTCTTGGTGTGTTGCTCCAGCTGGTCTCGAACTCCTGGCTTCAAGTGATCCTGCCGCCTTGACTTTCCAAAGGATTACAGGTGTGAGCCACTGTGCCTGGCCTCCACTAACTTTTGATACTCTCTGAGGGTTGGGAAGCCACTTGAAATATCCGTCCCAGTGGCAGGCCTCTCCAATGAACCTGAACTCCTTGGTTGAGTCCAGCATGGGTTCCATGTTTCCTTCTCACAGTCCTGGCCATGAAAAACTCTGTGAGTCCAACAAGGACTGGGTCACCCTCTGGACTTTGTTTGTTTGTCATGATCAGAGGGTGTCACTTGCAGAGGCCAAGCATATTAGGCATACTACATTTGAGCGGACACTTGCTGCACAGTAAAGATTTGTCATGGGGCTTGGCAATGTCTATTATCTCAGCCTAGTCCCTAACTCAGTTTTATAAATAAATACTTTATAAATAAATAAATATTTTTAGATACGGTTTCATATATGGTGAATTTTGTAGGATGGGAACTTCCATGTAAGTCATAGGAAGATTGTACTCTGTTTTGCTCAGACCTTTACCAGGAGGTGTTCATCATTTCTGAAAATTACATTACCAAGAGGAATGCTACACACCTATGTCAGTTTGTATTTATTCTGCATTCTAGGTGATCCTACATGTTGGTAAAAGCTTCTGATTATTTCTTTATATCTTCTAGTATGGTCATACTGAAACATTTACACATTAGAATAAATTTTATTATTACATTAAACATTTCTCCTTTATATTACTGTTAGGGCATTTTTTTTTTTTTTTGAGACAGAGTCTCACTTTGTTATCCAGGCTAGAGTGAGTGCCATGGCGTCAGCCTAGCTCACAGCAACCTCAAACTCCTGGACTCAAGCACCACCATGCCCGGCTAATTTTTTCTATATATATTAGTTGGCCAATTAATTTCTTTCTGTTTTTTATAGTAGAGACAGGGTCTCGCTCTTGCTCAGGCTGGTTTCGAACTCCTGATCTTGAGCAATCCGCCTGCCTTGGCCTCCCAGAGAGCTAGGATTACAGGTGTGAGCCACCGCGCCCGGCCTGTTAGGGCATTTTTGGTATATGTTTGTATTATGTATGTGTATGTATGTGTGTCTATACTATTCACACATTTTTCTTATAAATAATGGAGATAAGTAGGTTACACTATTTTTGGCATTAAGTTCAGGATAGTAGAAGAAACACGACAAAATATTTACTATTAAAAGAAGGAGATGAATCTCATGGGGTGGAGAACCCCTGGCCCAAAATCTCCAGATCTTTGTGAGCCCATGTTCAAAATCCTAGTGTTTCCCCCTCTGACGCTTGAGTCATCACTTTGCCAGAGCATTCTAGAATCTGGCCTGGATTCAACATGGACTACAGTTTTTAGAATTTTTTTTTTTAAAGATTGTATTAACAATGCCTCCAGGCTTCTGATACCTTTCTTGTTCTCCACAATACGTCAAAAATGAATGAAGTGTCTGATGAATTACATCTGCAAATATTCTTGGGACCCCTGGCCAGGAAACTGGAACTCATTTACAGCAGCATTTCCCTCAATTCCCCTGCCCAACTAAGACTAGCTTATTTTGTTTTAAATGTAAAATTAAGCCAACTGACTTTAATTGAATATAGAAATAGTAAGATAAATATTTGTCCAGACCAAGGAAATAAAACATTTTTCCTTGGAAAAACAAGCCTAGGATGCCAAAGGAAAGCAGACAATATGATATTGGCACAGGTGATGACACAATTGATATGCATGGGCAGAACTGGGCTGGCCCTAGGCAAACTGGTGAGGTTGGCTCTGGGGTTTAAGACAGTTTTCTTTTCACTGCTCCCACCAGTTCTCTCTTCCCTTCTTGGCCCTGATGGGAGGGACCTTTAGTATGAAAAAATAAAGAGACAGAAACATTATTGTTACAGTATCAAATGCTCAGAGATGGCTAATATTGGTAAGATAAAGATAGAACTAGGCTACAGTCTTCTCTATCCCCACAGTCCACATCTCAGCCCCTTTTCTGGCTTTCAGAGAAAATAAAAAACAAACAAATAAAAAAACAAAACAAAAAGACTCTAGCAGAGGTAACAATGTTAACTCCTAGTAGTACTGGTTTGATTTCTTAGTGGGAGGCAATGATTTTGCTAACATTTACATTTTTCCTGCCCATCTTCATTTTCTTCTTTAACATTTTACACTGTGATCTTTTAACTTTGACATATTCTACATATCACAAAATTAATTTCTATGAGGACCTAAATGTCAGGACCAGAAGCAAGTTGGGCAGGGGTCTTCCTGGAGCCACAATAAAGAGCTTTCCAGTGAGTATGAAGCCACATGGAAAAGTCTTCAAAACTTATCTGGGTACCCAACATAGTAGTAAATGGCAGTACGAGATGAAGCTGCCCAGATGCAACCGCCTTCAGGATAGCTGCCCTTTGCCTTTAACCCCTGGCTCAGCCATCACCAGACACCTGCTCCTATGGTTGGACTTCAGAGACTGCAAGGATGAGAAGGGCAAGGCTGACCAAAGGGTTTTCAAGTTTTTGCTATCTCGTAACTTTTAAAAATTCTACCTCAAAAACCTGAAAAGAGAGAATCTGGCTCACTTCTCCAATCACTATGATAATTTAAGAGATTTTATCTGTGCTGTGTCTCAGCAAACACAAGGCTTACTCTGCCAGCGAATCATTAGACAAGGACCACTTAATAACAAAAACTCAACTCTGCCCAAGGAGACACATACACAAAACAGCTTAGAGGGGGCCACCAGGGATTTTATTTGACTTAAATCTCAGACTGGCTGACCATTTGAAACAAAACAACCTTATATATTACACCAAAGTAATTCCCAGATCAAATAAAGATTTAAAAGAAAAAAAAATTACTAGAAGAAAATTTAAATGAATATTTTTTTAATCCTTGGGGCCTCCCTAAGCATGGCACTAAAGCTATGATTTGGCTATATAAAAGTTTTAAATTTCTGCATACAAAAACATAACTGAGGACAAATAGATACCATGCATGACCTTTAAAATGGCATCAGCTTCTAAAAATACATTTTAGGGAAAAAATTAGACAAATGTTCAATACTGCATGTAAAAGGATACTCATAGCATATGTTATAAATACATGCCAGATTTCTTTATTTTAGTGAAATATTTAATACATACAAAAGAATAATGTATATTTTTTATATTTGTTGATTATAATGAACAATAATAAAGCAAACATCTGAAAACCCATTATCCAAGGAAACCAAATTTTACCACCATTGGAGCTTCTTCTGTGCATTCCTCCTTTTCTTCCTTCCCATCTCCCTCTCCCCAGAGGCAACCATTCTCCTAAATGGTTACTTATTGTCTCCCTTTGCTTTTCTTTATAGTTTTAGCACATGTGTATAACCCCTAAACAATATACTTCTTTTTTGTTTGTTTGTTTGTTTGTTTTTGAGACAGAGTCTCGCTTTGTTGCCCAGGCTAGAGTTAGTGCTGTGGCGTCAGCCTAGCTCACAGCAACCTCAAACTCCTGGGCTCAAGCAATCCTGCTGCCTCAGCCTCCGAGTAGCTGGGACTACAGGCATGCGTCACCATGCCCAGCTAATTTTTTCTATATATATTAGTTGGCCAATTAATTTCTTTCTATTTATAGTAGAGACGGGGTCTGGCTCTTGCTCAGGCTGGTTTCGAACTCCTGACCTCGAGCGATCCACCCACCTCAGCCTCCCAGAGTG